GGCGCCCGGGGCCCCTCGCGCCGCCGCGGGGCTTTGAGGCGCTGCCGGGCCTTGGGCGGCTCGCGCGGGTGTTGCTGGGCCAGTTAAGATGCAGAAAGAGCAGACATGGCCGCGTGCAGGTGTGCCCCCTCCCCCCACGCCCGCCTCCGCGGGGAGCTCCGCCCCGCCCCGTCCCATCCAGCGCGTCCCGCAGCGCTCCGGAAAGTGACACTGTCACTGGGGCGTGACACGGGCTCGCTCCCGCCTCCCCTGGCGAGAGGTCGTGTCCCTTACCCAGCGCGGGGCGAGCGAGGCGGGCTCCGGAGAAGGTCCCGCTCCGCGGGCCGCAGCGAAGGTTTCCGCCTCCAGTGACTGCTGCTGCTGCAGGAGGGCGCGGCTCGTCGCGCCGTGGGCGGCTGCGGGAGGCCGCGGCTCGTCGCACTGAGGCGGGAGCCGGCTGTCATATTTTGCCCTCGTGTGGACACCAGATGTCCTGACACTCCCGTCCCGGCCCTTGTGGACATGGCTGTCAGACCCCCGGTCTCACGGCATCTCCTGGATTCCCCCTCTAATGCAAAGAGGGCAGACTGGCGAGGGACCACCCTGTACCCACTGCTGAAGCATTGGCGAGCCTGTTGTCCTGCCTACAGCTGTACATAACACCTCTGTCTTGAGTGTTGGACTTCGATTTTCCTTTATTGGGGAACATCATGTTTTTGTGCTGCCTTTCTGCTTGCTTGAACAGGTGGCCTAGCCCTTGAGAGCATTGTGGCTCAGGAGCATTCACTGTCTGTGCCAAAGACAGAAGACAACCCTTTGCAGATCTCCTAGTCAAAACTGCACAATAACAGCCAACTATAAAAATCCATTTAGTTACACAAACCCTTACTTGCACTTTTCTGCATTTGCAGCTCCTACTTCTGTTACTTGTCTTTTACATACCTGTACCCAGGTGGAAGGAAAGATTGTTGGAAGCAGCAGCAGTCCCAGGACACTCAATTTCCAAGTGTGGAATTAGGGTGCTAAATAATCTGGGGGTATGCTGTAAAGTTGTTTTAAATAGGGAATAATAGATACACTCAAGTGGAGACTTGCAGAGGAAAAAAAAAAAACAGGTTGTCCTAATGGAGCAGGTAATGAAGCACCAATCTGTGCGCCAGACTCTGCTGTTCACGCTGAAGAGTGCTCCTCTTCTTGAATCACCGAGTTCAGTGAGATTATTGGCAATGAAAATAAATAGTTCCTAACTCTTCCTATTCAAACCTATGAAAAGACAGCAAGATCACAGTTGTTACAACAGTAATATTCTAGGGAAGAATGGTGAAACTAATCACTTCCCTTACTGTGAAACTAATCACTTCCCAAGAGGTCTCTTATAAGCTCAAGTTTAAATTTATTATCGGTTTAATCTACTGTGGTAGTCAGGCCCCAGTGAAAGTAAGGGCCCCACTATGCAAGCATTTTTACAGGACATTATATACTGCATGGTGTAGCTGTGGATTGTTATCCAAACACTTTCCATGCCAAGATTAAATATGAAAATCTCACAATGAAGAGAAAGAAAGAAAAAAGGTATTTTCCCTGCATTCCTTTGTACTGCAATTCTAACACTCCAGTTGTTGGAAGCAGATGTGAGGAGAAAAACATCTTTGTGAAACTGGATATGCTTATAACTTTATTTCCTTAAACTAAAATGAAAAGTGTCTGGATATGAAAAGAGATCATTCCTTTCTAAATTAAAATCAGAGTCTATCTGCTGGATGGTTATACTGCAGCCTGGAGAGTCTTATAACGCAACTAATGGCTTCCTTCATCTGTATTAAGCAGGGGGGTGTTGGGTATTTTGGTGATCCGCCTGCATGTAACAAACTTTATTACTTGCATGTACTTGTGGCTTCCACAGGTTGCACCTTTGCATTAAAAATTAGGGTGCCTGCATCCTGCTCTAGTTTATGCCAATCAGATGCAGCCTTCAAAAAGACTGATCTCATTCCACAGACAGCCTTCTCTTTGTCTCCAAACAATTAGTATATGTTTCTCTCCCAGCCATAAGAGAAAATCTGCTTTGTCTCAATACTGTGTCACAGTCATTCAGCTATTACAAAGCTTGGGTTATCAGAGACCATAGCTGACAAGGGCAGTTGCAGGGAGGTTTGGTTCTCTTATCCCATGAAGGAGTCTGACTGAAGGATTAGAAACTGAATTAGAGTATAAATATTTTTAGCGGTACTTACTAAATGTCCTGTAAAAATGCTAAACTAAACTAAATACTTACTAAATGCCATAGAAGCAGTAATTCTTACAAATGTTTATTTTCCACCATTTACATCAGGAATGGATGCAGTCTCGAAATGGAAAGTGTTACATAGTGCTGTAGAGATGCTCCAAAATAAATGTCCAGAGTTAGAAATTAAGATAGCAAGTGATTTTAATGCTAGAATTGGTGGCACCAATATACATGGCAATGAAGATGTAATAAATTACATGTGGGAGATCCCCCTCAGCAATCGTATGTGACAAGACACTAAATTAAAGAGGACAATGGTTTTTTGAAATGTATTACAGAAGGGAATTTTAGAATGCTTAATGAATGAACTGGAAATTATGTACCTGGGGCATTCAACTTTATTACAGCTAACGGAGCAAGTGTCATACACTGTATACTAATAGAACCACATATACAGTATAAGTATAAATAATCTGAAATTCTGCCACATATGAAGAGTGACCATTTTTCTCTCTCCCTAAAAATTCCATTAGAATTTTATGAAGAGTCTTCCCTACAAATTATACAACTAGCTTCCAGTTTCAAAGTAATCAATAAGAAGAAAATCAAATGGAATAAACAGTTGAGTGAGAACTATTTTGCTCTTCAGGCCATGCATCTCACATTCTCAAATTAAAAAAAACCCAAAGAAACAATTACTCAATATGAAGCAGCCAAAAAATATTAATGAAAGAGAGTGTCTTAGTAGGGAATAGATGTTGGTGGCACAAACCATGTTTTGATGAGGACTGCTCTAAGGCTAAAGACTCCTTTCCAGAAACCTGGAAGGAATATAAATCTAAAAGTGATTATGTCAGTTTCCAATAGATCAAGAAGATTAAATTAAATTCTAGAAAACATAGTTAGAAAGCAGAAAGAGTATTAAATGAGACTATGGGAGAAACTGGGACTACAGGGAAAAATAAAGATAAAAGATGGTTTAGGCAGATTATAGCCAAAGGGACCACAAATTTTAGCTTAATTCCTGATGCATCTATTCCTAAAGAAACATGGGTTTTGTTTTTCAAAAATAAATTTAAACTTACTCACAGCTGCTTGCCAAAGAAAATTTTATCTGCTAAATCACAAGCAGATCATTACATCACCTCTGAAACTCAAGTCAGATCATACATATTCTTATTGCGTAATGGAAAGCTCCATGGCCCCAATTTTCTTCCTCCAGAAATCTTCAAAGAAAGTATTGATAGAGGGCCTCAATTCTGACAAATATAATAGTCCTGGAAATAATCCTCCAAATCACTACAGTATGCAATTTCATGTTATATACCATTGTTCATATAATATTAAATTTCAAAATTTGAAAGAATTAATGATTAGTCAGATTCAGCCATTGACTGAACTAGTATTACAGGGATGGCTTGTAATTTTTTTCATCTATTAATATGTTTAAAAGGAATGGACAGTGTATACTTGAAAAAAAGATACATTTTTATAAAAAAATAAACACCAGGAAGTAATGTTTAACACATTCTAATGAATAACTTATCTGCTCTGGGGAAAGAAAACAGAATACAATTTTATATCCTTGGACAGGTACACTTACCTGGAGCTATTTCTGTTCAACATTAGTACAACTGCAGGTCTCCAAGTAGCAAGACAACCACTAAAAGCATTTTCTTTGTCAATTCTAAACTTAGATCTGCACTGCACAAGCAACTGCAAGTTACACACACAAGCCCAAAAGGTCTGCTGATTGACGGCTCT